TGCGTTTGTACGTAGGTAGAAAAGCCTCGGGAATCTCATTTCCTCGCGAAAAACGCTATTCGATACGTCGGTTCCGCGTTCCTCTTCTTTCTTGCCCCCTTTCACACGCGGAACCTTATCCTGTTCGTCTATAACGCGTTGATCGTCATTCCACGGAAGAAGGTTACCGCATTGTTGCATCTGATACGGAATGCGATAGCGATCTAACTAGTTGAAGCGGAACGCGAATTTTCCAGAACCCTTTAGCCAGCCGGCTGGAATGTCGCTTCGATTTCACGCGTTTCGGGTAATCTCCGTTCTCAGCGGAGCAACTCGCCGGCCAAAAATCACCGGGTTCTCCTTCGTCTGCCTCCGAGGCGATTTTTGGCGTCCACGGAAGAAAGGAGGAGGATCGAGAGAGGAGTATCGTTTACGGTGGGATTTTATGGGGCGCGAAGCAGGGAAACCGTTGCTCCTGGATTATCGTCCAGCAAATTTCACCCCTGTCCTCCGGCCGACCGGTGACTCCCTCGGTATCACGGGTACATAAATTTTCAGTTCGGTAAGCAGTTGGTTTGCCCTTTGACCAACCGATCGCATGAATCACGACGTCGCGATTCGACAGGATTCCGCGCCACGGGCGATTCGCTGTGCGGCGAAACATCCTGACGGCATATTACTCCGGAGAATTTTCCAGCGTCGTGGACAGGAGCTCGTATCGTCGGTGGCAAACACGCGGAGCTACGAAACTATCTTCCAGATTCGAGCATGGACACTGGCGTGCAAATGGGCGGAAACTTTACGGAGAAGTTTCGTGGGTTCAGCGTTTGCCGAGGAACGTCTATTAATTATTAAAAGAGTGGAAGTTTAGCCATCGGGATCGTTGAACTTCATCCGCTTTCAATAAGAAAGTACTCCTCGGCTTGCCCGCTGGTGTCGGTCGATATCTGCAACGAAGAATCATAATTCATGCGACGAGGGATTAAATTCGTACGTCGCGATTAAAGCGCAGAAAGAGGAACCTATGATTAAGAGGCGGAGCGAAAAATTCCCCGATTATTAGGTAACGAATGGCCAGGGACTGTCGCAAATTAGGTGCTCGTAAATTACCTTCATTTTCGGCGGCATTTTCAGGAGAACTGGTTCTTATGCCGGCTCGAAGGTTTCCGCGTCATTTATTCGAACAAAATGGGGGTAAGTCCGAGCAAAAGGTAGAACCGCGGGCTAGATGACGCGCCCTTTGTTCACCGCTGACTTTCACCATCCACTGGGATCCGGATTCCGGTTCGCCGTCGACTTTCTTTTGGGCTAATACCAGTCGAAGGGAACCATTCAGTCGGTAGACACAGTCGGCGGTGCCGCTGCCTTTTCAGGTTCGCATGCTACGGATAAAGTGCACACCGGCCACGCATTTCCCGGGTCGAGCAGCATACTTTAACGATTTATCGGAAAGTCGGAAAAGAGATCAAACGTCAACGCGAACCTTGGAAAGCGTTGTACCGAAATACATTCCTCTTTCACCGATAGAACGAACCGGTCTCCTTTTTTTTCCAATTAAGTCCGGCAAAGTTTGCCTTTCTTCTCTAACAGGTTATTCGGTTTATTAACCGTGGCGTAGCGTTCGTATAAAACGACGAATAACCTATCGAAATTTATTATATCGCGGTGCTTTTGACCGTTTTCTATATCATGCAGGCTTTTTACGAATGCACGCGATTAAACAGCGTACGTTGGCAGAAATTTACTGGGTGGAGCGCAGCTTTTACCTCGACCGTACGAGCGTAATTTCCATTGTGCAAGGCGGGTACAATGAGCCCGCTAAGTTAGTAATTAGGGCTATTAAACCGGCAAAGGTCGCGTAATTTAATTGGTCATTCGTTATTTGGCGTGTACCCCGCGTTCCACCGCGACCAACGATCGATCAAGGATTTCTCGACTGATCGAACGCTCGGAAGAATTGCGATAGAACTCTCGAATCCCGGGATCCGACTATCGTCGGAGAGATTTTTCGAAAAATATCGCTATCGGACAAGGAGATAGCTAATCGGGGTCAGTGCCGTGTCCACTAACGAGCGTTGGCTGAAAGTCGAGATGCAAAAGGGACGCCGGGAAAGTTAATTATAAAGCGCACTCTCGCCACCAAGCAGTATCAAAGATCAAAGTCGAAAATGTTTCGCGATCTTTCCACCGGATGCACTCGCGATGCTTATTCCGCGCAATGGTCGATAGACTTGTCGAGCCTCGGGGCGAATTAACTAATCGTGTAATTAACTAATAGCGAGTGAACGACTGTTAGTGCCGGTGGAAATTCGCATGACCGTTGACTCTGGCCGAGCGAACAGTCGTTTCCGAGCTGGCCGTACTGAAACAGTCGTGCGAATTTCGCTGCCGCCATGGACTGGCGTCTGTTTAACGAAGCTAACGGAATTAATGCCGAGAAAGTTTCTTATTAACGCCGCAGATGCCGCAATTGCGTTTAGCTGGCACACCGGTTAGTAGCACGAAAGGCCGAGTTCGATTATGCAAATCGCCATCGCGATCCCTCGCCAAGCCGCTTACCTTACGTAAGAATTACTAAACCACCATAACGGCCAGATGGCCGTCGAACCGGGAGAACGAATCTCGAAGAAGGCGGCCCTGCGTTCGACCCTTCGTCCACTTACGCGCGACCACGTCGCGAATCATCCTCTTCCCACACGGTGACCGAGTTAAGCTGATATTCTCGAGAAGATGCACGGCGTACAAAGTCTGACAGGTATTCCCGGGAACAGCGGCGCGGCGCGGCACGGCGAATGTAAATTTTCATTAAAATCTCGGCTCACGGGCACCTACGTTTCCGTGGTTCCGCGATTTCACCGCTGATTGCGACGAGCTAGGCAGCGCGTTCCGTTGATTACGCGAACTCGTGAAACTGTCGCGAATTTTTCTCCCCTTTGCCCCGCCGCGACAAAGGGAATATTTCGCTTTTCCTTCCATAAATTTCCACGTTGAACGGTTGTGCACGACGTGAACCGCGGTGGATAGCATCCGCGAGTAGCTTAGCCGTACGTAATCCGGCCGAGTCATGCTTTACAGGGACATACACACACCGGCTAGGAAAATAATTTCCAGGCCGAAGACGTCACGTTCATCGGATATTCTTGGAAGTTCCTGCGCGATGAGGTAAATGAGGGATGACGATAAAAGAGGTCGCGAAAGTACACAGCGCCGCGTAATCACCGTTACTCCCTTGTTCTCGTTGAACCGACCAACTTCCGTGCCAGAGGTCTGATAAATTAACCACGCCTGGCGTTTCGGCCATTCATCCGTCACAAAAGAAGCTACGCCCCCGTGGCAGCCACCACGCTGGCTTTCCACGCAACTCGCCGGAATCGCTTTTCGATACGATTAATAATTTTCGTCCGTGCCGCTCGTTACGTTAACGTCGAGTTCCAGTTCATTATACGATGTCAACCGCCTGCGAGGGTGGTTGCATCCTGTGACGACGACGCCCCCGCGCTCGCAGGAGTGTCCTCGAGGCAACCGCAGTGCAGTTGCAATTTCAATGCTCCGTGCCAATTAACGCGAAGTCGTGTTCGAACTACCGATGGCTCGTGTTAACGACGTTCCGCCACGGACATCGAGTGCCAATTATCGATATTAAACGTCCAATGAAATCGTGCGTCTCGTCGTTTCAACGGCCTTTTTACCCTCGCGCGTTCTCCAACCGACTTTCGCCGACTCCAGAACGCGTCCTGTCGATTTTCCAAGGAGTCACCACCGTCTTCTCGCGGCCGGACAGCAGCAGCAGCAGCTGGTGGTGTTTTTAGCCGTGTAAATTTCCACCGCGGTGCATACGGTGCAACGGGGACAGAGGGAAAACGAAGGTTGGTTGGAAATTGGAAAACACCGGGTCACCGAACTTGGCTGCGCTGGCCGAATTTCCAGCTTTCCACGGAACGCGCGTGCATACGTTCATTACGAACTTACGCTTATGAATAATTACTGCACGCCCGGAAAACTGTTAGCGGAACAATGCTGCGCTAACTATCGGCCAAGTTTAATTATCGAGCGCGCTCGCGCTGCAAACCGCTATTGTGACCCTAGCACGAGATGCGATGTATTCCGAAATTGTCCGTCTGTCCGTGACTGTTCCGAATCCGGACTGGATCTATTACTAATCAGCGTCAACTAGACGCACGATGGGGGTGGGTCGTTGCGTGGAAATTGGGAAAATCAGACCAGCCCGTTTCAATTCCTCGCACGATTCCGCCGCGATCTCGATGGGTACACGCGTGCGAAATGGGTTCTCGCGGGTAGTTGGACGCTACTCGTCCGAGAGACGAGAGGAGTAGAGACACGAAGGGTTCGACGAAAGGGCCCAGGGCGAGGCGCGTGAGTAGGACAAAGAGAAATTCGGCAGGTTAAAGATCGGGCAGGGATCGAAGGGTATGAGAGGAAGCTCCTGAATTTATCGACGACGTCGAAATTGCGAACGAAGGTCTCATTACGAAGTTTTATTCGAGAAATAAAATTCGACAGAGTTTCCTTCAGCGGGCGAGTACCGCGCGGTTACCTGGAAGGTAACGTAGTCAGAAATTGGCTACGCGACGCAGCGACGACGCTGGTGGAAAGAAGGAAAGGCGGTAATGCGATGTCGGTAATGGCGTAGAACAGCTAAAAACGGTGTCTCGGCGGTGTATTTTACGCGCGATAAAGGAAAGGGGGCGATGGCGACGCGGAGACACTAGAGATGATGAACCGACGTGAAATGACCTTGAAAAAGATTTCTCTCGAGCATAGCGCATTTAAGGACGGTAATGACCGAGCAAGTCGCCGCGACGGAGACGCGTAGACCGTAAACCGTGAGTCGAGACACGGTCTCGGAATCGCGGGACGGATTGCACGGTTCCTTCTGAACGCGCCCCTTAACGTCTCCCCAACTGCGACGGGAGTAATCTTACAACGGTCGATGAATTCCCCGGCAGGAAATGAAATTACACGGGCAATCCGCTACGAGGACTTTCTTTTTTCTGTTTCAGAAGAAGGCGGTTCTCCCGAGAGGAAAGCAGCGAGAATGAGCGACACTCGGTCGGCCGCTAACAAATACCAGCAGAATCGTCTTCTACGCCGGTGAAATTGAACCGAGGAAGCTCGTCCTGTGGCTACAACACACGGAGAGGGGTCGTCGCTACCGTAGACCAGGACCAACGAGTCTCTCATCCCCCAGCGACGTGGATTTCTTCGTTTGGCCGGGCTTAATCCACTGGTGAAACCCGGTCAGGGGTGAGAAATCACCGACGGAGGCCGGTCACGAGTTATGAGGGATTCGTTCGTTTGTACTGGAAACTAGTCACGATAATAATCATTCCCGTCGTTTCCTCGGCGAACAGGTATCCATCGGATACACGCGGTGGTGGATAGAGATCGGACGTTTGTCGTAGGAGATTCGGATTGTTCGTTCGCTTACACGGACGCGAATGATCGTTCGTTAATTGGTCGGTAGGATGTCGGTGAATCCGATTAACTGGTCGTCTTTAAGGAGATCGGGGTCGAATTAGGTTGTCGGTTGGAGGCAATTCCGTTCGGCTCGCGTATTTCGGTTTCGCCTGTTAGACGATAGGAGAGATGCGAAGCGCAGAGATTCGGATTCGCGTGGTAGCAAGGAACTCGATTTCAGGTCCGTCGACTCGGTCCGAGATCGTTTGCATCGGGAATTCGGAGAGGTTGTCGCGCGGCAAACCGGTCTAATAGACGCAGCTCGAGTCTAGATCGAACAGTAATCGTAAATTGGACTCGTTGGATCGTGTCCATCGGGCGAAGAAAGACCGTCTCGACCGATCGATCGAATCGATGACCCACGGTGCCAGTGCTGTCCGATAAGCCCGGAGTAATAACGGCGTTGCGGTTATTCGAGTCGTGAATTTTCGACAGAGGTGATATGCGAGCATAGGGCGAGACATCGAACGGTAGAACAATGGCGAGCGAGCTGAACGCGACGACAAAGGTCGAGAACTCGACCGGCACGATGAATCTCGTATCTACGATATCGTCGTCGCCACCTAGCGCGGTCGCAGCCGCGATTAGCGCTAGCACAGCAATTCCGACTAATCCGTCCACGACAGTAACGGGTGGAGCTGCGGTCGCCAGTACCGCTAAACCCGACCATCACGTCTACAACGCGACCGGCTACCTCGTGGAACACGACGAGCTCGATCACAGTAAGTAATAAGAGGCCGTGAATACGGTTAATGCGCGTTACACACCGGTCAAAGCCGAACCTAATGGGACTGCATTAGGCCGCTCTCGCCCGGAAACGCCACTTACCAATCATCTCGACTATTTCTCCTCGCGTTGCGTCGCCAGTCTCCACCAGTCTCGTTTCTTTCTCTTACCTTCTCTCGTCGCTCGTCCTCCTCTTCGATCGCGGCGCACGTTTGCGATTCCCTTTCAACCACCACCCTTCCACGAATTATTCTATTCCAAGTATGGGGACCATTCGGATCGCCGAGAGGAAAGAATCGATAGGTTTCGATCGTTCTTCGTCCACAAAACCGTACGCATTGTCCGCTGGAAAACAGTTTCAACGTTTGCCAACGACGGCGCGCCGCAGTTTCCATTGAATTAGGGCGCGTGCCACGCGCTAAACGTAGTCCACGCTGTTCCATTCCACCGACAACGATTTTTCATGCGAAACGTACAGGGCGATAGCGGATATTCCCCGATTCGTATAGCATAGCTCGTTCGAAGGTCGAACCTCTTTCGAACGGCCCCACTCGAATCCCGTTTCATCCGGCGTCGAGGGGATTTTGGGAATTGGTCTAAATGTTGCCCGCTCGTTCTACCTTCTCTCGATGGCCTGGCCGACTACCTACGGATTCCCAGCTCTCCCCTTGTCCCTCAGGCCGCGCGCGCGGTGCGCAAAACTGTTTCCGGCAAAGCTTAATCCTCCTAGCTCGCTGAATTTATTACCGCATCGCTAAGCGACTCGTTTTTCCACGAGAAAAATACCTGCTCGCGAACCGCGTCCGCAGCAGTTTAAGCCGGAGATCAAAGGGTCGAAGAGTCGAAAGTTCGTCGATCTCTTTTGAAAAAAAAAAGAAACAACCACGGCTGAAACGTTCGAGCTGAAGATTCGAAATAGAACTCTCTTCCGAGGAAATAATTAATTCGGTACGAGCCAACGAATTCTTTGTCAATAACGAACGAGACGATTCGATACAACCTTTGATGACCCTTTAATCAGCGAGGCGCTTTGAGGATCTACGCGATCTCGTCTGATCGCGTTTCGGCTTAGCGTCGATAACGGCAGGGACGTGTAGTTTTTACGAGAGTGCTTTCGATCAAAGGATAACCCGTTATCAGGAACAGGTTGCGTAGCACGCATCCTCCGTTTTGCCACGGCAAATCTTGCCATCTTCGTCCTTGTCCGACCGGCCGACTGCGACACCGGCTGAATACTAATCGTAACGCTGCGGTCTACCAAAGTCGGATCGATACCATCCTCGCGCTAGAACCATGATATACAGCGAAATTCAGTCTCCGATTGAAGCTTTTTGTCGTTAGATATTCATGCTCCTCGCGAGAGCTACTCACGCCGTTGGGATTTTTTGTAATATTTATGAGAGTTACCTGCTATGCATGAACGAAGCTAGGTACCGATCGAACGTTGCACTCCTTCGACACGTTCCCTCCTCCGTCCCGGGTCTCAGAGACTCGGAATTCTTAGCTCGACGACTCTTCGAGTATTTAGATCGCGGATTCACCTCTCCCGGCTCGTTTGCGAGCGCTTTGTCACGGGTCGTAGAGCGAGTCGTTCAAAGGGTTCTCTTTACGGGGCTTTTTTCTAAGGGACAGTACCGGGTAAACGTTCTCGTTCCCACGATTATCCGTCTTCACCGATTACCTTCGATTTTATACTCGTGCTCCTCAAGATCCGCTCGATCTCTGCCCGCGCCTTCATCGCGTAAGGTCTGCTCAGCTTCTTCAAACATCGGGTCCGAGATACCGAGAAAGCCTCTAAGTGATCCGATTCGGTCTCGCAAGTGTCGTCACTCGACGCCGTGCTGTGTAATCCGCTGATCGCAAACTCGTGACACTTTTCCTGTTTCGACGAATATCATACGTACGTGCACAGCCTTTGGATCACCGCGACGCGAATAAAATTAACGCTTTCTCTTTACGGGCAATTTCGAGAGACCGGATAATAAATTCGGGCCCCTCGACATAGGCGCGCGTTAAATCATGCGAGGGGAAATAAATTTCTAGCGACGCGTTACTCGTTAACCTGTCGCGTCTCCGTTAATTTGGCCTCGATCGTGTCCTCGTGGGATTTCACGTTCTCGCAGCAGGAAGAGGACCTAGCGCGGGCAGGATATCTGTCCAGCTGTTTCCTAGCCTCGGAGATCCTGCTGCAGGAGCGGGGACAAGTTCGAGGGCGAGTCTTGACCTCTGGCAAGGAGACGGCAGGGGAGCTGGTCGAATTCGGGATAGCTCGTGGTCGCCGTGTCGAGCTGAAATCCACCACGCGGCTGTCCCTGTTCGATATCAGGCATCGGACGCAATTGCAACTCGAGCGAGACGATCGCGACTTCTCGGCTTCCTCCGGCTCGACCACTCCGTGGTCCACGTTCTGGAAAAATGTCGTGTGGCATCGTGGGGTGATAACGTGGATATCGGTGGGAAATGAGAAATCTGTTTTTAAATATTTATGGATACCGGATTCGTGTTCCGCGTTCGTGCACGGGGGCTCCACGCCAAGAACTCTCCGCACCCGGCTATTTCCGCGTATCGTATTTTCTTTCAAGAATTCTCTCATCCCTCGTGAACACCATTTTCGAGGAGACTTTGTTAAGCGATAAGCTGCTCGAGTGCCTAGACTCTCCTAATATTCGTCCGCCCTATTAACTACGCCCGATCTACTTTCTTCCGGCCCATCTCCGGCCATCGGAGCTTTCCATTAAAACGACCACCGGGTACATCGGTTTCGTTCGCGTCGGATTATTGGACGTGTCGTTGTAATCGGAGGATTAAAAACGTTGCACGGCGAACGTCTGGACGCGGAGCCCCGTAACGAAAAGCTACAGCAAAGTTATCGGGAAAACCGTCGAACACCGGTCCATGCTAATGGCGTAACGAGTTCATCGATACAAACGTGCAACTCGACCGCCTCGTCGTAATCCAGGTACGGGTAGAGGAACCGATGCAGATCGTAGAACCAGGGTAGCGAGATCTCGTAGCTACGGCCGCAGGATTCAGCCGCCAGGAGGCTCTTCAGCTCGTTCACGTACAGCCGTCGCATCTGGCGGATCTTCAAGACGATCTCGACCAGAGTCACCCCGGGCAGGTCCATGATTCGATGAATCCGAGCATAGGCTCGATGCCTGTGCTCTTTGTTCAGATAACTCCGCGTGTCTTTCTTCCACAGGCAGGGTGACTTTCTGTACAGAGTGGCCAGCTTGCGGAAATAACGGCTCGTCCATTCCTCTTCCCTTATGGTCCTCCGTGACAGTCTCCTCGCGAAACACTCGTCCATTGTACGCTCGGGATTCGGGGCTGTCCGCTTATCATGGCTTTTAGAGTCATTGGAAACGAGATGAACGATAGACTTATCCCGCTGGGACGCATCGTTGACGTTGCAGTTTAGGTTAGGTCGTTGGATAAATCGCGAGTTGAGGTTATAACCTTAAAGTTGGTTCGACTCTGTCGCGAAACGGGAAGGAAAAGCTGGCGAGTGGAATCGAAAGGCAATGCTCACTTATCGATTAGTTTACGCGAATGTGGTCATCTTGCAGCCTCCTCGAGACGTTGCTCGTCGAAACGAAGGGAACATGTGCGCCGCGCGCACTGCTGGGAAAGACGTACATCCGTTCATTACTCTCGTTTGCATTGTTCATGTATTTTAATTGGCGAAATCGAAGTGGCCATGACTGAGGTCCGAGTGGAATACCCGGCGTATCAGTTAACTTTAATTGCTTCATTTTTACGACCTATTAAAACGCCATAATTTCACGTACCGACCATGTTAACGTGTACACCGTTTACAGGTATACTCGCTGGTTTCTCAGATATACAGACAGTTTTTCTAGCGTGTATCTCGACGTTGCTGCCGTTGATCGTCGCGCTGGGAATCGCCTTCGGCGTCAGGTAAGGAAAATACAGTTTTCCCGCAACGTATGCTTAGAAAGATGCCGCAAACTTTCGTCCCTTTTCCTTTAACACCACTTTCCTACCTTATCGTCGGAGATTTTATATCGTGCAAACAGCCCGTACTCCTTCCTCGCGTGTAAGAAGATAAGAAGAATTCCCGATACACCGGCGTGTGTTGCATTTTACTTGGCCCGGTGTTGTTCGCCTCGTCGTTTTGACAAAGTTGCGTCGATTTTCCCTTCGTCGAGGATTATCGTATAATTAAGCCGGGCCTGTCACGAGGACAGCTGACGCGCACTCGGCGTCTTTAAATATTCCCGTGTTCGCTCCATTTTTGCAAAACGCACCTGCGCAAAGGCCATTCCGTCGCTTTGTACCGTTTCTCGTTCTCTAAGTTCGGCAGCAGCAGAGGATCGCGTGCACGCGAGGCGGCGTTAAGGGACAGAAAACGAGATCCGCATCTAACAGCACAAAGAGCAGCACGGAAAACCGTTAAGTCGGCGAATAAGTTAACGGTACAGCGTCGGTCGCGTTATAACTGCGAACAAGACGACTCTGCTCGCGGCTGTATCGCGAAAGCGAAAGCCCCGACGTTGATTAATGGGGCAATTAAAGACAAAGCCGGTGTGCGCGTCGCACGCGACTCGATCACTGTCGAATCATCGGTACTGTAACACCTACCCACGCTGTACAGAAATTCGCGAGCTGATCAATTGTCGTCTTGGCTGCGACGTAATCCCTAATCCCTCTCGATCTATCCACACCTAAACTCGCGCCATTCTTGCACCCCGTTCCCTGCGACGACGATAACGAGGGGGGCGAAGTCAACAAAGGGAAAAGGGATAGTTTCAATCGTGGCAACGATAAACCGTGACTCGGGTTCGATTCCCGATTCGGGATCGAATTTTCTCAATCCTCGATTTTCGGCGTATCGCGTATCGATCGATAACGTTCCTGTCCTCCGATCTTCGCGAAACCCGTGGTTCGCGTTGTTCCACTCGTGGAATGTAAATTTTCGGCGGATTCGTTGATACGGAAAAATGAACTCCGACCTAAGTCACGGTTCGGTTAATGCCGTCCTTACCGGCAAAAAGCGATTTTACGGACCTATCCCCGGCTGCAGCGACTCGCAAATTTTCGCCGTAACCGAGGAGGGTTCCCGGGGGTCGGGTAGCGCGGAGAGGGGACAATAATCCTGCGTTATTGCCGAAATTGCGGCTGCGAGAGGATTATGCTCGGTCCGTTCCAGGAGAATTGAAACAATTTATTCGACAGTTGTTCAACTGCTCGTAGACGCGTTCGAATTATTTTCGAAAGCTCGCGCAACCCGGGCTAGTTCCGGTGGAAATTACGCGGCACTATAGCGGAACGATTCCGGGACCCGCCGTCGTAGCAATTGCCATCGCGTTCCACGCAAATACGAAACGCTTATAAACGCTTCGGAGATCGATTAACACGGTGCAGCGGTGGCCATGCGCAAAAATGACTACTAATTAAAACAACTATGTGTCACCGATACGTTAAAAGCTGTCCCGCTGCGCGAAACAGACGAGATTCATTTTTAACTATTTCAATTTTCTCGCTGTTTCGCGTGCTCTCAAACGCCATTCGCGAAGAGTTGTCCTTTGTGGCTGGAAAGTTCTCCGGTCGTTTCGTCGTCCCACTCTCTCTCTCTCTCTCTCTCTCTCTCTCTCTCTCTCTTCCCCTTTTCCCATTGTACGAGCGAACGCGAACCAACTCGGCAATTGAAATTTCTTTCGAATAGCTACGTATGTTCCACGGTTAATTCAAAGAACTCTGACCGTTTTTGAAGCTCGCGAAATTCTACTTTCGAATGCCGGGTCAAAGTTTCCTTCTTAATGGCCGAAACACGGACGACACGGCCGAACGCGACGAATAGAAAGCGAATATTCCGAGAGAAAGACGGGTATTGTTCTGTTTCGCAGGCATGTGTGGAGGAAATATCGAAACAGACGAGATAGCTCAAGTGGATTGCCCTGGTACAGGAGTGTCTACTCTCGAGACAATACCGCCGAATCCTTGCATCATCGACCCCACTCGGCAAGCACGACCATTCAGTCTGCCACGCGGATTCTCTCTGCCCAGGACGTAAGTATATACGCCCCTGTTGTACCCGGAATGTACGCGCGTTTACCCGCCGTTGTTGCTCCGGCAACTTTCCGCCGTGCAATTTTCAAGGGATCGTCAGGGTTTAGGTCAGTGAACACGCGGCTGGTCGCGAAGTGACCATGACGCGTTCGGAAATCGATTTCCCATCGATAATTTGGTAGCGCGCGATGCTAATTTTGACAGTGTTCGTGAATAAATAAAACGCCAGGCTCGCTCGAAAACCGAGCCACGTTCTCGAGCGTGGAAAACGGAATTCTCACGCTCCAGTTGCCCCGTATCTCGGTCCAACCTGCCTCCTGACTGTTGGGCTCATTTTTCTTCGCGAGTTTCAACAATAAAACGCGCCTGCAACCAAGTAGAATTTTCGGAGCAAATTTCAGGCTCGTCGTGTTTGACCGTTTAAACTTCGGATCGGGATCGTTCGATTTTACTTCCTTTCCTTTTTCCCGGTTTTTCTTCTTTTCTCTTTTTTCTCTCGCGCCGCACTTTCCGCGCCGCAAATTAATTTCTCGAGCCTCGACGGAAACGTGGAAAAGCGGAAAGCGAGTAGTTCGCGCGACGTTTCGCCGAATACTCCAGCGTGAAAATAACGAGGGGTGTGGCGGGTGGTAGGTGGCGAGCGAATGGAAGAAAAAAGGTAATGGACTACTCCCTTGAATCGGTTGTCCGATGAATGGACGTGACACGTACAACAATGCGGTGTACATTGTTTTTCCATTATGCGGCATCAATGGCGGATCCAGAGGGATCCTTTTTTCGCGTTTTGCATCGGAAACGTTGCGACAGGCGGTGCACAATTTTTGCCCATCCGAAATCTCATTTTTCCCTCTGCCACTTCCATTAATCACCGCAGGTTCGAAGCAAGAGGCTCGAAGAACGTTGCCGCGGTTAGGTGCAATCTCTTCCGGTTCGCGGCTATTATATTCGAGATAAACGCGCGCCAAGTTTGTCGGGGCGCGAGCGTGGCGATTATGCTCCAAGTTTGCACGGCCACGCAATTATCCCCGATTTAGCTTGCGGCCTGGTATCTCTAAGAAAACACTCGCGCCCAGAGAAAGCATCGGCTCTCACAGTCGTAGGTGAATCCTTCCTTCCGCGAGCCCCCTTTGCGTTCACGGTTACGCAAGCCGTGATATTTTAAACAACCCTCGATAAATTCGGCCGTGAATTCGTTCGCGTGTGTCCCCGTGTTTGACGAACATTTTCCGCTTGAATTTGGAAAGCCGGTTTCAACTTGGCCGGCTTTCAAATCCGATGAAAAGTTCGCGCCCAACTTCGGCCCCTCGTCCTCGACCACTTGGTCCGTTCGGTCTGCATCGCTCAGGCGTTGATCGTGGATCGTTTCGTTGCCTCGTTTTCCGCGCTTGGTCGATCGATTAATCTCGAGATCGCGGAGGGAGCTCGCAACGGGGGAACGAAATTCAACGAGGAAGCGATGCACGGTGTTTATCGACTCGCGTCGAGGTCCACGGATAGCGGAGTCGGACGCGAGCAGGGCGTCGAGGGGGTGGTGGTACACGCGTCCATTGAAAGCTCGAAAGCTCGGCGCGGCGCGAAGAGTGTCCCGGTGTGTTGTACAGGAGAGGAGAGGAGCGAGACTGCATCATCCATCGACCGCAGCTGACACGAGGCTCCGTTAGTTCCGGAACCAGGCGAGCTTCTATCGGACATCGATCGAATATGCAAAACATCGGCGCGCGATCGCTGGCGAAACCTACCATCCGCGTGGTTGCGGTGCGAGCTCGGTTTTTAACGGCTAACGCGTTGCTTGCTCGCAACGGCTACGACCGCTTTGCGGCCATCGCGAACCTCCGCTGGCCCTTGCATCGACTTTAAGTCCGAACAATGTAGGTCAAATGACTCGCAGGCACGAGCCTCGCGCGTCGCTGAACACCCGGCTCGGTTCAGCTTTACGACCAACCGTCCCGCCCTTTACGATGACTTTTCACGTCCTCGACGCCTCCGCTTATCTTCTTCCACGGTTTCAAACATTCATGCCCGTACACGCTCGTCCCTTTTTACCCTACGACACGATTCGCGACTACGAATCGGGGTTGTCGGCGCAAGCTGCGGTGACAAAAGCTAGGCCACTTGTAATAATTCCTACGATTCTTTTCTCCTTCTCCCTTTTCTTCGTTTTCTTTTTAGATTAAAATCCGAGTGTCAATTACGAGAGGCACCGGTAGCGGGTAATTAGAACGCTCGTGCGTGATTCGCAGGGGTAGAATAGCGGTAGGCAATGGTGTTTTTCAAGGTTTACAATGACACTCGAAACCGTAACCCCTTTGCGCAGCAGGGAGTACTCGCGGTTTATGAAATAAAATCTCGACTCCGTTAAACACTCTTCGAGTTCCGCTTTCACGGAACCATCGGTCTGAAACGTCTAGAGGGAATTTTTATTTTCCAACGAGCCTCGCGACCAGCGAGAGGACCCGCTTTGGAAAAGCCATTCACGCGCGGTCTAGTTTTATTACAACGTGGAATCGTTGCCGAGTATTTCTTATTTCGATAGCAGTCCGTACGATGTTGGCGGTTTACGATTTCGTGCCGTCGTTCAATTGGAATATCGAAAAATAAAGCGTGACGGGGATGGACCGCGGTGATGCAGGTGGTGCGTTCGGCGTTAAACTCGGTGGATCGTGACGAAAAAGCGTTCGTCTACGATACGTACAGCTATCCATTAATTTTATCGACCGTTCGGTGACACGGTGCACCGCTCCCGACCAGTGTGAGCGATCACACACGTATATAAAGCACGATCGTTCAAGTCGGGCTGAAAATACCGAGAGCGGTCGTTCTGGCGGCAGTCAGCGGCAGTGACCTGATTTTAATTTCACGCGTGCTCGATAGCAGTCACAGCGCTTAGACGAGTTGCACGAGAGGAGGAGCACCTTTCCCGTCGACGTGTGTTTCGCTTACCTCGACTCGTTGCTTCTCTCCTCCTTGCCGTCGTTTAATCGCGTAGCTCGCCGACCGGTATGCAAAGCGAGTCTTCGCTTTTCGCAGCGCTGCGCTCCGTCTAGTTCAAAGAATTTCCCTCTTTTCTGACCGGTCCACGTGCCAACGGGGCGCGTTGCGCGATCACGGAACGCTGTCGGGCTTGTTTATCGAAATTGCGCAGGAATAGGAACGAAGTTGCCCCAACTTTCGGTTCGCTTGTCTCCCTTTCAGAGTCCAGTGGGACCGTGGACCCTCGCGTCGCCGTGCAATCTCTATAAACGAGCAGGTGCCCCAGATGAACGGGGGGTGGGCTAACGCTTAAAGAACGCGTGCCAGGCGTTAGGAAAAGCGACGCGGATACCTAACGAGGCTGCATGCAAAAGGCTGCCGGTATATACTTGGTTTTTCATGCGCGGACGGACGCACGACGTTACGTAGTCGTCGGGGTCAAGGAAAATGTGGCGTTCCAGCTGAAATGGGAATTGCTCGCTGGGAAAGAGGAGGAACGTTTCTTGACTAAAAGGTGTCCGCTTTAAGCGACGAGGATGACGAGTTTTCCGAGGTAATGAAATTACCTTCGTGCCCGGGCTCATCGCGCGACGATACACCGCGGGAAAATTCCGGTGGAATGGCGAGTCGCGCGAGTCTCTTCGAGTCGGAGAGGGAAGAGAGAAAAAGGAGAGGAAAAACGTTGGCGACCTTCGTCAACGATCAAGCGCGAAATGTAGCGGCGGATAATCGGAGAACCGGATCGACGTGACCTCACTCGCTCGTCGCGATTTTATCGATGTCATAATTTCAACGCGCATCCTCTCACGATTCGCCCGGCCGATAAGCTTTTCATCTCGTTGCAAGTTTAGCGACGTTCTCGGTTAACCTTCGGCGCATCGACATCGACATCGACTAGAAACGAGGTCGAAGCGGAGTCGCTGGCAGAAAACCGTGGCGGCGCGAGTTCTCGCGGGGGAGAACGGCGAACCCCAAAGTCCTTTTAAACGAGACGCGAGGCGAAAAGACAGCGTCCTCGATTCTTACGTGGCCACGGCGGACCATAAAAGTTCACCGGCTGCCAAGCACTTTGCCACCGCCCCTTTTGCCACCGTTTGCCCGCCCAGCAGAAACCCGTAGGGCATAAGGGCACCCGCTGCATTGGCGTCGCTCGCGGTTGCCCGCGATTTCTCTCCTCTTTCCAAGTCTAAGTCTCTTTGTCGGTGGCCCGTGCCGATATTTCTTCGCTAAACGATCGAAATTTCGCCTTTCTATGCCCGCAAGTCGGAAACCGGACGGGAATAAACCGCATCGCGTTCCCTACGCGAGTATTATCCTCGAATTCGACCGGCGGTGCTCGCGGATCGAACAGACGAAGACGAGTCTCCGTAGGAAACGAAGCTGCGACCGCAAATCCGTGACGTGCCGCATTCGGGAACACTGAAACGACGCTTTTGCACAAAGTACACCGCGGCCAATGATGATCCACAGAAACGCGGACAATGCATGCCAGATGGCGACGTGCACTCACCGCGCTTCTTCCTATGTCGTGCATCGCTCTCGAGTGCTCGAGTTACCGAGTAGCCAGCTTGTACGCTCATTATCTATCCCTAACCTTTTCGTAATTCCGAGAACATACCCCGACGTTGGCGGAGAATCGCGTGCGGTAGAAACGCTTTACGATTGGCGTCCATTTGCTGGCCTAACGCGTTCGGTAACGGGTTAGGTACATCGGTCGAATCGCGCATGCCCGATAGTCGCGTTAACTCGTCTGGCTTTTATCATCGGATTTCCTCCGTAGCGACATAACGTATAATTGTCCGGGCCGATGATAATCCGTGTAATCGATTTAAGGACGATAAATACTCGTTAACCGCGGGTCTAAGCACGGATTTCGTTACGCGTACCATCGTTATCTCCCGCGTGCTCCATCATTCGTAGCCTTATATCGCGGCTCGGACCGGTGTATCAGGTGTATTAGTCGCGCGAGTGTCGTTTTAATCCCGTTTATTCGATCAACGAACGTTTCGCGATTGTTTGCGTACCTACTT